TGAAGGTCCCCCTAACAATGTTATCTCAGGAGATTCATCGAAACCAAGTTTCTCTTCGTATCTACAATTAGTAAAGTAAGTAAACTAAGAGTGGTAGGGGCAAAGAGTTGGTTATAGGTGACTACAGCTCGAATGCAAGATGACGAAAACTTGCTGAAATGGTTCAAAGGCAGTCAGGACCTACGAAAGTCGAGGTGACAAGACAAGCTCATGCTTTGTCTTTTCTCGATGAAGCCTGATGCATTACGACGTACAGAATGAATGTTCATAATTGGGTCGTGGTGGCGACCACGAATGGGCACAAGCGACTAATGCGAGGACGGGGTAGTGTCGAAAAATGTGCAGATAGCTCGAGCCGATTCCGACTGTAGATCGGAAATGTCCTCTTCCTCCCGGTCGTCTGGGCTGACCAGTTTGTCTTGTCTTCGTCCCTCCGCCGGCGTCAGACCATCAGCCGTCCACTTGCAAGTGTCCCTGCCACGCCGAGGAACTGGGCCAATTGGACCTCGGCTACAAGACGACGCCGGGCATCGGCGCCGTCCAGTCGACCAGTGGCCTCTCGCCGTCCACCTCCGACAGCCTGACTGTCCCGGCCGCTGCAACTGTCGCGACTCGAACCGAGACCCGAACAAATCCCGCCTCACCGCCGGCCTCGACGGTTCGCAATCAGCCAACCGCGCCCAGCCGAATCGGCCCGACAAGCCTCACCTCGCAACTGCCGCCGTTGCGTCAGTCGGCACACTCGAGCGCAGCAATCGCCAAATCCGCCCTTCTCGACGTCTCGAGTCCGGCCATTCGAATCGCCCAACTGGCCACGACTCGACAAGCGCCCATTCAGCCGCTCGTCAGCACAGACGTCGTCACAGTGTCGTCACAGCAACCGGCCAGTGGCGCAGGTGGTACCAACTCGCAAAGAGGCGTCCGGCGCGGCACCAGTCTCCGTGAGGCCGAAGGCATCAGCTGCACCCCGTTGACCGCGGGCCTCGGACCCACGAAGTCCACAGACGAGCCAAAATTACGTCAGCCCAGAGCATATCAACGACAGACGCAGGTTTTTAACTTCGACCTCGAGTAGACGTACACTTCGCC